AACCACCTGCATACGTCTGGATCATGCTGTCCGGAGCACGGAAGCCATCGAGCGGGCCTGTATCGGTCCGCGGCATGGTCCAACCGTACTTTCTCTCGCAAACCGAAGAGGAATGCGGAAGCTTTGCGGGAGCCCGGACACCAGACAGTAGGACTCCGACACCGCCGGCCCACCCATAACCCTTCCCGGACCCCGTGTCTCCATCCTCACCATTTTCTCTCCTTCTTTCTCTTTTGCCTTTGTCGCCGCCCCACCACCCCAGTCGCCACGCCACACCCCTGCCGGAACTCTACGTCTCCGTCACGTCCAACATTCCAACCGGCTCCACCCCGCTTCTCCTTCATCGTCGTTCAACCTCTTTCCTCCGACCGCCCCGCCAGATACCATCCGCTACTATTATACTGACCATGCCTGACAATTGTTCGATGAATTACCGAAGCTAGAAACAGTTTTTGCTTCTTCTTTCTAGCAATGGATTCCGATTTGGAGCACATATACGAGCATTATGTTGAGTCTTCTAACGAGGAGGCTACTCGGATGAGGTGGCAATGATGCAGGTGGTCCTTGAAGACACATAGTGTGCAGAGGAGCATGTTCTCAATTTCAAGGGTTCAATCAAGGGCCATTGAGTGCTCAACCGCAATAGGGCTCGCTGACACTGATGACCGACTACTTTGCCTCGGATGCGCTCTTTGCTGACCATTTTCGTTGGTGTTTTCGGATGCGCAAGAATGTCTTCGATCGTTTGTACCATAGCGCCCAATCTAATGATGACTACTTCTTCTTGAAGAAGGATGCCATGAGAGCGATTGGCTTCTCTGGCTACGAGAAGTGCACGGCCGCACTACGAATGCTTGCATATGGCACAGTCGTTGATCACGGGGCGAGTACCAACGGATGTTTGAGAGCACATGTGGGGATGTCGTGGTCAGGTTTGCAGCTGCCGTGATCGAGATGTTCAGACCTCAGTACCTGAGAGAACCAACTGTGGCAGACACCAAGAGGCTCTTGGCAATCTCAGAAGCAACATGATGGTCAGGTTTGCTTGGATCTCTTAACTGCATGCATTGGAAATGGAAGAACTGTCCAAAGGCTTTATAAGGGCAATATCACGGTCAAGTTAAGAAGCCCACCTAGTTAGCCAGAAAAAGGCTCACTTTGCCCAAAGACAAGAAGAATTTAGAAAGGATGTTGAGCGTGCATTTGAAATATTGTAGGCTCGTCTTGCAATTGTTTGTGGACCTGCTAAACAATGGGATACGGAGACCTTGTGTGAGGTGCTGACATATTGTGTGACCATGCACAACATGATCGTCGAGAATGAGGGTGACGATGCTGCTGCAGCTCTAGAATTTGAGAACATATGGGTGATCCTATCCAACTTACAGACCAGAATTTGGCCACACTTGAAGAGTTTATTCAAATGGATCAACAAAATCGGCATCGACCAACTCACGAGCAGCTGAAGGAATATCTAATTGAGCATCAGTGGGCGGTTTAAGGGGACAACAATGTTGGCATGTAATATTTAAACTTTTCAAAATTTAAAATTAGTGTTGCATGCGGCTATTTAACGTCTGCACTCTATGTATGCGGCTATTTGATCATGCGGACTTAAAAAAAAAAGAGGAAGGCCGGATGCCCGGATGTATACGACCACAGTTGGATGGCAGCCTCCCGCATCCATGTCAGCAGACGGATGTGGGGAAAAAATTGCAGGTTACCGTTGAAGATGCCACCATCAGGTTTAATTTACCCCTGAGTTTCCTTTGTATCCTTCTCTCTAACAACTAACAACTACGAGTTTTAATAAGAGCATATGAGGCACTGGAGAAGAGATAAAAACAAAAGAGTAATAAGCGCCGGCGCACCGGCCCAAATTTGGGCCGGTCACAGCCCAGGCGTTGGATGCGTCCACGTACAGCCATCAAATCTAGGCTTCTCGTATCATTTTCTCTCGAAAAACAAATCTGGTCACGCCAGCAGAGAACAGGAGCAGCGGCGCCGCAGGCACTCGCCCTGGATGACCACCTCCCACGCCACCGCTTCACCGCTGGCCGCCGGCGGCCACCACCACTTCGCCGCCGATCGCCCTCGCCGGTGGTCGGTGCCTCCCATGTGTTTCTTGTCGCCTTCGCGCATGCAACATTGAGTGCTTGCAGGTTGCAGTCAAAAATTGCCATGGTTGCAGCTCTGGCTAACGACGGGGTGCAGCTCCGATGGCGGCGATCGCCGGCCGTAACACCCCATGGACGAGCAGTGTACCTCCTCTTCAGTTGCTGGTCGCAGGAAAACCGCCAGCCGGTCGTAGCAAACGCCGACAACAGTTGCAGCAAAAAAACGAGATCGTCGTTCGCCGCCGCTGACCGTCGTAGCAACTCGGCTCGCCGGTTCCAGCAAATTTGAGACATGGTTCCAGCTCGTTGTGCCAGTTGTAGCAAAACATGACATTGGATGTAGCAAGACACGACGTTGATTGTAGCAAAATCTGCGACGACATTTTGCATGATGAAGAAAAACGTGATGCCGGTTGTAGCAGTGCGGGGCGGCTGGTCGTAGAAAAACACGACGTTGGATGTAGCAAGTTGTGCGATCGATTGTAGCAAAAACACCGAGATGTCATTTGTGCGATGAAGCAAAATGCAGTGCCAATTGTAGCAATGCGCGGAGCTGGTTGTAGCACTTTGCGACGTGGTTGTAGCATGTAGCTCTGTCGAAGGTCGGTTCCAGCAAATCTCGCACGCATCCCCATCGCCACGTGCCCGTTGAAGCTTTTTCTTGCGTCGGTTGAAACTTTTTCCCATGCTGATTGAAGCTTTTTACCACCATTGACGCTCGTTGCACAGGGTTGTGCTCGTTGCACATGGTTCCATGAACTAGGGCCACCAGTCATCATCATAAAAAATGGATGTAGCAAAAAAAACTCGCGCAAAAAGACACCAAGTTGCAGCAAAAAATTGTGGTCGTCGCCGTCCCAAGTCGCACCTCTTCCATGAATTGATCTAACAAATTTTCTCATCGCTCGTAGCAAAATCCGATTACATTTGCAGCAAAAATCGTTTTCCCCGTCGTCGCGGGTTGTAGCTCCACCATGAGTCGATGCAGCAAAAAATATCATTAGTTCCAACATGCAATCATTGTGGTCGTAGTATGCAGCAGCACGTGATGACCCAACAAAGGGTAACGCTGAAGATAAGAAGAAATCTGAACGAGGAAAGCTGGACGAGCGGCCGTGGTGGGCCAAGGCCACGTGATGGGCTAATAACCACATGACGGGCTAATAAAAAAACAACAACGCAAACATGGATCGCCCGATTCTTTTTGGGGTTGGTCGCTGTGATCGAGCGGCGCACACAGGACCGGCCTAAGCTTCAGCCGGTGCGCCGTTGCTAAACGATTCCCAAAACAAAAACTGGATACACCAACAACACACACAACATATCTTTTTTTTTTACCATATTAAAGAAAGGATTGTTTCTCCAGTTTTTTTCGTTCATGATGGGACACACATAATTTTCGTACGTCCCAGGCTTCGTACGTCGCAGACCTTTCCTGGTGTGGGAGTTTTCTCGTTCTCCTGATTCGTTTCTGTCAAAAGAAAAAACACAGGACGCACAGCGCCGCAATGGGCCGGCCCATTAGCGTACAAACAACTTCGCCAGTAAAAGAACTTTCAAAAAAAATACCGCTACACAAGGAATCGTAACCAACCGCTCATACTAGAGCACTCAAATATTAACCATTAGACTATACAAGACTAGGTGTTTAATTAGCACCATGAAATTTTCAATTAAGTACATAGTCGCGCCAGATACAGAGAGGAATTTTTTTAAGTGAATATATTTAAGAACGTGAAAACTTTGCAAAGTTGTTAATAAAAATTTTAAGGCCAAACATTTTTTTAAAGAACAATATTTGTCTTTTACTTTTTTTTAAACCTGAGTATTTTTTAAAACACAAAAAATTTATTAAAACTAGAAGGTACTGTTGTGATTATTTCATGAATTTGCAAACATTTTAGAAACACAAATATTTTTTAACTTTAAATTTGAAAAGGTAAACATTTTTGTAAACATGTTTTTTCTAAACTGGGAGGTACTGTAGCTAAATTGTTTTAATCTATACCTATATTAATAAAACTTGGCGAATATTTGAAATATGCCCACATGATGCTTTGTTTTACTTTATTTTATTAGACTAGGGATATGGAAGGAATACTTTTCTTTATCGTGTCTTCACGTACAACCAGTCTTACTCGGCCAGTGACTCCCGTCAAAATGCATGAGGAGTCCAACTAAGGTTTCATGGTCTATCTGACACAAACTACTCAATTTATACGATGACACAAACATATATTATGTGCAATGTTTTTTCCTATTATATTAGCCAGATGATAAAAAAAAACTATGTTCAACTCTCTTGATCTTCATCGGGCACGAAGGCAGCTCAACAATCCAGCTATTAGACCTTGCCAACCTTGGTTAGTGACAATTGGTATTACGACCACCGGCGACGAGGACAGCAAAGACGACAAGCGGAAACATGTGTCTGGTGTTATATTGAAATGAAGGATATGGACCTGAGGAAGAGGTATTAGTCATGTTTATCCTATTATGGGCATGAGGATGAGGTTTTTAGCCATGCTCAATGATAAAGACATGTAGGGGCCGTTTTCTCCCGTTGCAATGCACCGTCCAGCCGAGACCAAAACCAACACGTCGTCGACGCAATTCAAAGGCACCGCACAATTCGAGACTGCACAACGCTGCGAAACCTGGCAGAGAGCCGGAGACACCCCTGCTGCCACAGACATCATGATTTATTTGCGGGGAGCCACAGACAACATCTGACCAAGACGACACTGAAGACAGCAACGCCGACGACGAACGCCGCTTTATAAACTGGCAGGCACGAGCAACACGAGCCAATGCAGAGACCAGACCCAGACCGAACACTGATAGGCAGCCACACAGCTCCTAGCTCCTTCTTCCTCCATCTCCATGGAAGGCACCAACTGCTCCATTGCTCTGGAAACCGCAGGCCATGCCGCGGCACTCGGCACAAGCGCGCCCGCACTGCTCCTCCTGTCTTGTGTGGCCGTGATCGGCGCGTTTCTGGTCTACTTCTACGCGCCATTCTGGGCCCTCAGGAGGGTCCCGGGGCCTCCAACCAGGTTTCCTCTCGGCCATCTCCATCTCCTCGCCAACCACGGACCAGACGTCTTCCGTGCCATCGCCAAGGAGCACGGCCCCATCTTCAGGTAGTAGTAATGTTATATCCATCATCATCATCATCTTCTTCTTCTTCAGGTGCCATGTAATGGCGTTCCAAAACATGGACGTGATGCTCGATCGGTGCAGGTTTCACATGGGGAGGCAGCCGCTGGTGATCGTGGCCAACGCGGAGCTGTGCAAGGAGGTGGGCATCAAGAAGTTCAAGGACATCCGCAACCGGAGCACCCCGCCGCCGACGGTGGGGTCGCTGCACCAGGACGCGCTCTTCCTCACCAGGGACTCCACCTGGTCCTCCATGAGGAACACGGTGGTCCCGCTCTACCAGCCGGCCCGGCTCGCCGGCCTCGTCCCGACGATGCAGCCCTACGTTGACGCGCTGGTGGACAGCGTCGCCGCCTGCCCGGACCAGGACTGCGTCCCCTTCTGCCAGCTCTCGCTGCGCATGGCCATCGACATCATCGGCAGGACGGCCTTCGGCATCGACTTCGGCCTCTGCAAGAAGGTCGCCGCGGCGGACGGCGGCGAGGACGTGAGGGGGTTCCTGGAGGAGTACAAGAGGTCCATGGAGTTCATCAAGATGGACCTGTCCAGCTCGCTGTCCACCATCCTCGGGCTCTTCCTCCCGTGCGTCCAGACGCCGTGCAAGCGACTGCTGCGGCGGGTGCCCGGCACGGCGGACTACAAGATGGAGGAGAACGAGCGGCTGCTGTGCCGCCGCATCGACGCCATCATCGCCGGCCGGCGCAGGGACCGCGAGAACAGCGCCTCCCCGCCGGGCGCCGCGCTGGACTTCATCGCGGCGCTGCTGGACGCGAGGGAGAGCGGCGCCAGGGGCCTGGCGCTGGAGGACAGGCACGTGCGCGCGCTGGCGTACGAGCACCTCATCGCCGGGACCAAGACGACGGCGTTCACGGTGTCGTCGGTGCTGTACCTGGTGTCGTGCCACCCGCGCGTGGAGGAGAGGCTGCTGGCGGAGGTGAACGCGTTCGGCGGCGCGGCCACGGACGCCGACGACCTCCAGGGCAGGTTCCCGTACCTGGACCTGGTGATCAAGGAGGCCATGAGGTTCCACCTGGTGTCGCCGCTGATCGCCAGGGAGACCTCCGAGGAGGTGGAGATCGCTGGGTACCGCCTCCCGAAGGGCACGTACGTGTGGCTGGCGCCGGGGGTGCTGGCCCGCGACGCGCGGCAGTTCCCGGAGCCGGAGGAGTTCCGGCCGGAGCGGTTCGCGCCGGAGGGGGAGGAGGAGCGAGGGCGGCACCCTTACGCGCACAACCCCTTCGGCATCGGGCCGAGGGCGTGCGTGGGGCACAGGTTCGCGCTGCAGCAGGTGAAGCTCGCCGTGGTGCACCTGTACCGACGGTACGTCTTCCGCCACTCGCCGGCCATGGAGTCGCCCATCCAGTTCGACTTCGACCTCGTCCTCGGCTTCCGCCACGGCGTCAAGCTGAGAGCCATGAGGAGGACGAGGAGGGACTGATCGCCAGGCCCTTCCACGTGAATCATTATCCCCAACCACAAGCATGCGCATGATACGACGGCTTACGTGGCGAGGTGTGTGTGTGTGTGAGCTGAGTTTACATCATGTATAGCTAGCTAGGTGGCCAGAGGCGGGATATGTCGGCGTGATTAAGCTGCTAATATTCTGATTAACTAGCTACAAGTTGTTTAAGAAACGGTAATCTGAGATGTGCGGCTAGCTCTTTTGTGCTCAATAAGAAACCAACGCTGAAGGGATCAACTTGGAACTATCAGTCCGATCAACTTGGAAACAGGCAATCCCATCAATTTTTCGATATTGGAAGTTGTAAATGTGCTGCGGAAATTGATTTGCACGTAATCGTACTATTACCAGGTCAATTGATTTGCAGAAGTGTTATCAGATGCGAGCATGGATTTGGACAATTTTAGACAAATGAAACTAACACCTTGATCTGCAAGAATACAGTAATAAGATGGATCAACACTGGCACTGTAGGAATGTTGATCACTTGATTTCTTGCTTCACTTAACAGTTACTCCTCCTTCTGTTCGAAAATGCAAGCAATTCTAGTAGTTTTGTCCAACTTCTTCTCAGTTTGACCGAGTCTGTCAAAAAAATGTACTGCCAAAATCCTTTTTTTTTCCTATAAACTTGGTCAAAGTGACTAAACTAGAACCACTTACTTTCGGATCAGAAGGAACATTAACAGTTATCATGTTCCTTTAACCTTGGCTGGACAGATGATATTTACGAGTAGGCTTGGGTACTTAGATATTTCACTAAAGCTATATATGCTTCAGGTGCTGGATGTTCTCCTTTCATTTTGACTGCGCCTGCCGAAAGAAAAAAGAGTGCTCTTTCTGGCAAAATAAGGCAGCGGATTATCGATGCCGAAATGTCGCACGAGAAGGAAGAGAATAGAATCACTTTCATAGAACATAACTTCACAATGTTTACAGATAGGGTTCAGGAATGCCAGTTACATACATACATACAAGCCCTACAGCTGCACCTTCCTGGTTTTCATAGTTTACAAGTGTGTGATCCTGGAACAACAACCTACTTTTGCACACCAAAAACTATATATGGAAGAACCAATGCTAACTTGCCATGCAAAACATGAAACTAATTCAAGAACTCTTAATGTAACAAATGAATGCTCTGTTGCTAAAACAGGCGTGTGGAAATGCACGCTTGTGCCTGGTAAAGAAGGAAATCATGGATTAGAAAATAGCAAGCACTCGAATACCTCGGTGCAAAAGCAAATGAATAAGAACCGATAAGGTACTTCAACTGATATACCGTGAAATGTGCTTGGCAAGGCAGTAGATGGGGCCAACAGATCATTGAAGATATATATCCGCAGCAATGTCTAACCAAGCGTTCAAAGGTCCTGAATACCATCTACTGCTAAACATTCAAGCTCATTGATTATTAAAAGTAACAATGAAATAAAGCATATGAAGACCGATACCGAGCACCATGTACCTTCAAGGAACTACCGGAGCTCGTCATGAGACCCATAATCATCTTCTGTGAATAAAGCACTGTAAAATACATAGGGGTTCTCAATCATCTCATTCAAACTCAGTTGTCCGTCTTTGTTTGTGTCAGCCTACATTCAGAAGGTCTATCAGATAACAAATCAGCAGGTAATTTTTTGAGAAACATACTGCAGAATTACTCATTCAACTTGATTGGAGTTGACAGAATGTATCGAAGCAAAGGTTGCTAGAAGATCATGGTACATGGGTTACAAAATCTAGAGGACAATTCTGACAGCATTAAATAGAAAGGCAAGCCAAAATATCCTAGAAACAGAATGAGATGCTGTCATCTCGTTACCTGTGATATCACATAGTCAGCTTGTTGCTTGGCATAGAAGTTTTCTGCTGGATGGAGTTTTCCGATGATAGGTTTTAGCTCGTCTGCTCACAAAAGCCTACAGAAAGGAGGAGGCCTCCAAACTCAGACTCACAATTACATTATTCGGTAAATATGACAAATAGATGACACCACGAACTGTAATTTTTACCCATCATTATCCAGATCAAGCTGTGAAAACGACTTTCTAGCCGGTGCATCAGAGCCATTGGAGTCATCTGTTGAAGTTTCATCATCGTAATGTCGAACTGAATAAAACAATCCATTATAAAACTCTTGGAAATTGAGCTTCCCGTCATTATCTTTGTCTCTTTCCCTGAAATAGTCAACAAAAACCGATCTTACAATGGTGATTGTCAAAATGTAACCTGACTCCTATAAGAGAAGCTCACAGACATGTGATTGTGTCAGGGTTCCTAAAATAAATTCAGTTTGGATAAACATTTCAGCCTGGATCACCTGCTTGGTACTGGCTAACACAATAGCATAAAGGTTTTGGACAATCCATAAACTGGATGAAATAGCTGGTTTTAATTGGTTTGCAGTGTGATGGGCAGAGATTTTGAGTCAACATGATTCATACTAGTTTCAAGAAATGTTATACTATCCTGTTTACCTGCACAAATGGTTTGGGACTCAGCAAGAATCAGTATAACTATACGTAATAAACCGAATTCAGAGTATGGACTCGTTGTTTTCATACGACTCATTGATACCCAAAGTGCTTAACCAAAACCATGACAAGTTAGCCTTAGTTCGGCAATGTTTAGCTTGAGGCCGAAATTTTGGTAATGTGATGTTTTTGGTGGCTCTCTAGTCCAACTATAGGAGCCAAATAACAGCAAGAACCTGGCCAGCCAATTAGCCAACGTATTACGGTAACACCAAAAAAAATCAGCTAGGTTTCCATAAGCTACTTTGGGCACAAATCAGGCATTAAATCTTCTATTAAATTCCTAAGGCTTAGTTCTTAAAACGGCTGGATTCAAGTACCAATGAATTCCATGCAGCTGTTTGACATAGTTGACTAATCAAGTACCAAGATACGTCATAACTAAACAGCACTAAAACTCATATGTAGTACTCCCTCCGTTCGGAATTACTTGTCTCGGAAATGAATGTATGTAGAACTAAAATATGTCTAGATACATCCATTTCTGCGACAAGTAATTCCGAACGGAGGGAGTATCATGCAGCATCATAATTGAGAAATAAGTCAATTACAGGAATTAATGAGAAGTCGAAACATCAACCCCTTTTCTATGATCCATGGTTTATTTGATTATCTAATAATAGTTTTCGAATTTCAAAATGATCTGCCTCTGATATCACTAAGAGTATGACCAGAAATTCCATAAAGGTTCTTCTTTTATTTTCAAGAAAAAAAATTACATCTTTATTCTTTTTTGCAGAACTGAACACTAATAAGGGGGAATTTGAGGATTTGCCCCACCTTTGCTTGCACTTCTAGGATTTGCCCTTCTTTTCATTGACATCGATCTTTTGCCACACCTTTGCTAAAACTTTGATGATTTGCCCTTCTACCTGGTTTGAGATTACACTACAAATTTGATGACCCAAATGCCCTTCTTCCTTATATGTTCGTCCCGCAGCCCACTTGCTGTCATGCTATGCTGTTGCTGCTCCTCTTCCCACACTCCAATGCCAAGCCACTGCTGCTCCTCCCCGCATGCCATGGTGCGGGCTACGAGCTGATGCTGCTCCTCCTCTCCCCATGTCCTCCTCCCTCCTCTACAACGAACGTGCTCGAGGCGCAGCTCAGGCGTTCGTCCATGGGCAAGATTCTCGGGCGAAGCGCAACACCCGTAGACCAGTCGAGCTCTCGGAGGAAGGCGCCGCACTTCCTGCACCGGTCACCCTGCCTTGACAGCGCGGACCGTGTTGTCCGCCACGAGCACCAATAGACGCGTGTGCATCTCCACGGGCACGTGGCCGCCGCCGCCGCCGCCATGCCGGCCTCGCCGAGCATCTCTAGCGAGCTCCCCACGAAAGGACCAAGGGGTCATGCCAGATGTGGCGCGTGGAGGGTGTCGTCCATGGTCCGAGACTCCGAGCCCGGGGACGTGGTGGCTGTACATGGCGAGCTCGGCGACGGGAGCGAGCTCGGACCACGACGTCCTTCTCCATGCATGCGGCAGTAGAAGCAGCAACAGCAGGGCGCCCAGGTGCTAGAGCGAGCACGCACGCACTCATGCACACACGCACGCCCAGGCACACGCACGCCTAGCAGGCTAGCAACCATCAGGCACGCCCAGGTGCTAGATCACGCACGTACACAACGCACATAAGCACGCCAAGGCAGACATCCGTTGGCTGTCCGCCTCGAGGGGCGCCGCCGCTCCCCAAGCAGGTGCTCCATGAGCATACCGGTGGCTGTAGGTCGAGCCCGGCCGCCGCGCGCTACCTCGCCGTTTCCTCATCCATTTTCCGCGTCGGGCGAGTAACAAGGCCGACGGGGGCAGAGCCATGGCCACCTCCGCCGGAGCAACAACGGCGGCGGGAGCTCCATCTCCGCCTCATGTCTTCCCGCCCAGAGATGTGCTCGGTCGGGGTGGACTGAGTAGGGCAGGGGTAGTTTTGACATTTTACAGTGGGCCCATCTTGTTAGGGGCAAATCATCAAATTTTTGTCAAAGGTGTGGCAAAAGATCAATGTCAATGAAAACAAGGGCAAATCCTAGAAGTGCAAGCAAAGGTGGGGCAAATCCTGAAAGGCAAATGTGCAAGGAAAAAAAGTTGGAGAAAAGAAGCACCTGACTTCTTCTTTGCACAACCAATGTATTAGCTTTAGGTTGGTAGTATCAGCTGGATGTAAGAAACTGCATACAGTGAATCAGGTAAATCATAGGTAGAACAATTATGGAACTTCAGAAGCTAAAGGAGGTCAGATAGAAAGTTGTACTCGTTAAACTCCATCAGATTTAGAAAGCCGTCACCATCCATATCAGCAGCATTGAAATGCCCCTCCTTCCACCATCCCATCCCATCACTGGTTGAGTTATTATCTGGACATATATGAGATTTAGTGCTCAGCTCAAATCGCTAAGGCGCACATGTGATCATTTGGTAGTGGAAGATCACGGTTTATCAAAGGATGCTGGACCTACTTACTATGAGCTTGATAGGCACACATGAATGTTTTTTTTTTACTTTCAGCGTGGGATACAACTTTGCTAACCTACATGGGAACTAAAACTATTCAAGCTGGATCTATATGCAAAACTCTGTTCAATAGATCTAGAATGTGAATGCTCTAAGTTTACTAGTTCAACCAGGAAACACATTGAGAACTGTACAAGTAAAGTCTTCGCAAGATGCATACGAATAGGTGCTCGGTATGCTCACAAACATTAGAAAATTGTTCAGAACACGAACTTAGGATGGTAGTACCTACCAGAGCTTCCCCAAATACGGTCAATTTGAGGCTATATCCTAGACAATGGCATTATATGAACGCTCAAAAGAGCAGAGTGAGTTAAATGTAGTCAGGACTGAGGACTGGAGAGCCTATGTAAATGACTTCAAATATACTGAGAACAGGCATGAGCTGCACTCATTCCTCTTACTTTTTGAAGGCTGCATTCATTATACTAAGTGGATTGGACTACAGGTCTGAATCAAATACTCCCTCCGTTTCGATTTACTCGTCGTGGTTTTAGTTCAAATTTGAACTAAAACCACGACGAGTAAATCGGAACGCACCAAAATCCAGAGCTTACTCAGCTACCCTGACATGGGTATAATTATCTCCCAATAGATAAACTTTTTCCTGACTAGGCGCATCCGCGCATGTATCGCTACACAGATCCAAAATGGGGACGCCATGAGCTCGAATCATAGACATACGTACGTACCGTCGAACCGCCAAGCCCAGCTGGGCCTCTCGTACTCGGAGAAGGCGACGCGGCCGTCGTGGTCGCGGTCGTGCATGTCGAGCTCCCGGGCGGTGCGGTGCAGCACCTCCCGCCGCGCGGACGCGAGATTCCACGCGGCCAGCTCGGCGCCCGTCACGGCGTCGTCGGCGGGGTCGACGTCGATCTTGGGGAAGAGCGCCGCCACGCGCAGCGTCATGTTGAACCGCGCGGCGTCATTGATGTACTCGTCCTCGTAGTCCGCGAGGTCCTCTGGGACGGGGGCAGACTCCATGCCCGGCGCGTGCAGCCCCGCGGCAGCCAGGCGCTCCCACTCGCGGTCGTCAAGGCGGCGCTCGAGGTCCGCGATGACGGGGTCGAACGGGATCTGGTGCGGGGTGGCGCCTCCGTGCCTGAGGTGGGCACCGCGCAGGCGGAGGCGGCGGTGGGGGTGCGGGTGCGCGGATGGCGACGAAGGGGAAAGGTGGACTAGGAGGAAGAGGAGGCCCGCGGAGGCGAGGGCCAGGACAAGAGTCAGGACGACGGTTGGCGCTGCCGAGGGCTTCCTCGCCGCCGCCGACGACTGTGCCATGGCCGACGAGTCACCACTTGAGCGCTTCTCTCGCTTTCTTTTCTGGATGTTTCTTTCTTCGCTTTGAGAAGTGGCGACTGCCAAACTTGTCTCGGGGCCTCGACACCCCCCACACCCACACACACAGCCCCGGGGCGAGTTTTTTACGCCGGCGCCCACAAACACTGGGGGGCTTCGGCAGAAGGTAAAAACCGCGCATGTGCCACCACTGTCACGCGAAAATGATTTTTTGCACGTCCAGCATCGGCCCCCGTGTGCACTGCCCTTTCCGCCGCCGTGCCGATCCCGGTGACGCCCACCTGCCCACCACCGCTAGGAAGGCCATTTTCCTGCCGTAAAAAAGAGGGTTCACCACCGTATCCTCCATCCCGCTCCTAGGCGTGCTTTCTGGCGGTTCGTCCACGCAGGCGGGGATACCGGCAGCTGCGCACCCACCAGACGAGGCAGGTGTTCGGCGTTTTGTCTGCTCAGCGATGGACTCAGACGACGAGGAGGCGTTCGCGGTGCTGCTGGAGGAGGAAGCCGAGGCCGACGCCCAGGACGAAGAGCACCTCATGGTCCTCGCCGTGCTGGCCGGCCTGTTCACGAGCAATGCAAAGCCGCAACTACGTGGCTCGGTGTGACGCCCCCGATTCAATCGTACACTAATCATGCACGCAAACGTGTACGATCAAGATCAGGGACTCACGGGAAGATATCACAACACAACTCTTAAAACATAAATAAGTCATACAAGCAACATATTACACGCCAGGGGCCTCGAGGGCTCGAATACAAGTGCTCGATCATAGACGAGTCAGCGGAAGCAACAATATCTGAGTACAGACATAAGTTAAACAAGTTTGCCTTAGGAAGGCTAGCACAAACTGGGATACAGATCAAAAGAGGCGCAGGCCTCCTGCCTGGGATCCTCCTAAACTACTCCTGGTCGTCGTCAGCAGCCTGCACGTAGTAGTAGGCACCTCCAGTGTAGTAGGAGTCGTCGTCGAGGGTGGCGTCTGGATCCTGGGCTCCAACGTCTGGTTGCGGCATCCGAAAAGAAGAGGAAAACGGGGGAAAAGAGGAAGCAAAGCAACCGTGAGTACTCATCCAAAGTACTCGCAAGTAAGGAGCTACACTACATATGCATGGGTATATGTGTAAGGAGGCAATATGAGTGGGCTGAACTGCAGAAGCCAGAATAAGAAGGGGATAGCTACTACTATCGAAGACTACGCTTCTGGCAGCCTCCGTCTTGCAGCATGTAGAAGAGAGTAGAGTGAAGTCCTCCAAGTAGCATCGCATAGCATAATCCTACCCGGCGATCCTTCCCTCGTCGCCCTGTGGAAAAGCGATCACCGGGTTGTCTGTGGAACTTGTCTGGGTGTGTTTTATTAAGTATCCGGTTCTAGTTGTCATAAGGTCAAGGTACAACTCCGGGTCGTCCTTTTACCGAGGGACACGGCTATTCGAATAGATAAACTTCCCTGCAGGGGTGCACCACATAACCCAACACGCTCGATCCCATTTGGCCGGACACACTTTCCTGGGTCATGCCCGACCTCGGAAGATCAACACGTCGCAGCCCCACCTAGGCACAATAGAGAGGTCAGCACGTCGGTCTAAATCCTATGCGCGCAGGGGTCTAGGCCCATCGCCCATTACACACCTGCATGTTGCGAGGGCGGCCGGAAGCAGACCTAGCAACCTCCATTACAAAGGAAGTCACATTACGCGGTTCAATCCGGCGCGCGCCGCTCCATTGCTGACGTCAAGAAGGCTTCGGCTGATACCACGACGTCGAGTGCCCATATCTTTCCCGCGTAGTTGGTTAGTGCGTATAGGCCAGTGGCCAGACTCAGATCAAATACCAAGATCTCGTTAAGCGTGTTATTATGAAGTAACCGCGAACGCCGACTAGGGCCAGGCCCACCTCTCGCCTAGGTGGTCTCAACCTGTCCTGTCGCTCCGCCACAAAGATCCACACAGAGGGCCGTCGGGACAAAGGTCCTTTCAGCCCCCAATCCGTGAATCACTCGCGGGTACTCTTCGAGACGGCCCGACTTTAGTCACCATCTGTATAGTATGTATATATGTATAGTATATACCCGTGATCACCTCCCGAGTGATCACGGCCCAATAGTATAGCAAGGTAGACTAACAAGAATGTAGGGCCAATGATGATAAACTAGCATCCTATACTAAGCATTTAGGATTGCGGATAAGGTATCAATGACTGTAGCAACAATGACAGGCTATGCAACAGAATAGGAGTAACCGAACAGTAACATGCTACACTACTCTAATGCAAGCAGTATAGAGAAGAATAGGCGATATATGGTGATCAAGGGGGGGGCTTGCCTGGTTGCTCTGGCAAGAAGGAGGGGTCGTCAACTCCGTAGTCGTACTGGGTAGCAGCGGCGTCGGTCTCGGTGTCTAGCGAGAGAAGAGGGGGGAGAAACAATAAATACAATGCAAACAAATGCATGACGATGCATGACATGACAAAGCGTGATGCTAGGTGTGCCCAATCGCGGTAGTAGGTGATACCGGCGAAGGGGGAAATATCCGGGAAAGTATCCCCGGTGTTTCGCGTTTTTGGGCAGAGGTACCGGAGGGAAAAAAATGTGTGTTCGATATGCTAGGGGCGTGTGGTAGACGAACGGGCTGCGTATCGGGATTCGCCTCGTCGTTCTGAGCAACTTTCATGTAGAAAGTATTTTCATCCGAGTTACGGATTAAAAGATATGATTTTCTAAAGATTTAAATCATTTTTTGATTTTAATTATTTATTTAAAGCCAACATTATCCAGAACAGTGTTTGACGACGCAAGCATGACATCAGAGTGATGTCAGCGGGTCAACTGGTCGGTTGACCGGTCAAACCAGACAGGTGGGTCCAGTGGGACCCACATGTCATTGTTAGGGGCATTAACAGAGTTTTAAAACTAACTAAATGGGTTAATTAGAGGGTGGGGCCCAGTAGTCAGTGAGAGATTAGGGTTTTAATTAGCTAAACTATTTAGTTAACTAATTATTCCTTTTATTTATTTTGTTTATTGAGGTGGGGCCTATAGGTCAGTGAGACAGGGGCGGCCCAGTCAGCAGTTGACTCGTCAACTGGTCAATAGGGGGCCCTGGGCCCACCAGTCAGTGGCCCAGGCGGTGGGACCCGCCGCGCCAGGTCAGCACGGGCGGCTCTCGCCGGCGGCGACCAAATGCACGGCGTTGACCCGCCGGAGTTCGCCGAAAAATGTGCACAGGGCACGGATCAGCGCGTGCATGGGCTCGTTCGAACGAGCGCGAAGAGGCGCATCTAGTGGCGTGGGCGGTTCGTCCCGAGGTCGCCGGAGCTGTCGCCAGCGACGAGCGGGGCGGACGCCGGGGCCCGAGCGAGTTCGTTGACGGGGCTGCGGGGCACGGTTCATTGCGGGGCTAGGTGCGTTCGAACGCACGCGACAACGCGCGTCGAGTGGCGGTGGTCGCAGGCACGGGGGTGGCCAGGGTTGAGCGGTGCTTCGAGATCAGGCGGCAGCCGAAATCGCAGCTCGACGGGGACGGGGTTAGGAGGCACGGGAGGGAGTGTGCGCGTGCGTGTTGGGCTCCTGTGAGCATCAGGAGCACGATGCCGTGCTCAGGCGAGCACGACGGAGAGCATGGTTGTCGGTGTCAAAACCGACGGATCTCGGGTAGGGGGTCCCGAACTGTGCGTCTAGGCGGATGGTAACAGGAGACAAGGGACACAATGTTTTACCCAGGTTCGGGCTCTCTTGATGGAGGTAAAACCCTACGTCCTGCTCGATTGATATTGATGATGTGGGTATTACAAGAGTAGATCTACCACGAGATCAAGGAGGCTAAACCCTAGAAGCTAGCCTATGGTATGATTGTTGTTATGTCCTACGGACTAAAACTATCCGGTTTATATAGACACCGGAGAGGGCTAGGGTTACACAGAGTCGGTTACAATGGTAGGAGATCTACATATCCGTATCGCCAAGCTTGCCTTCCACGCCAAAGAAAGTCCCATCCGGACACGGGACAAAGTCTTCAATCTTGTATCTTCACAGTCTTGGAGTCCGGCCGATGATGATTGTTCAGCTATCCGGACACCCCCTAATCCGGGACTCCCTCAGTAGCCCCCGAACCAGGCTTCAATGACGACGAGTCCGGCGCGTATATTGTCTTCGGCGTTGCAAGGCGGGTTCTCCTTAAAATTCCATGTGCCTGCTGAATGGTGTCCGGCTTCCTTATAAATGTTGCGCTCCTTGGCTTCCACGTCCAATAATGGCCCTCTTCCACGTGTCGTATGAATGCGAAAAGCTAGGGTATTTTTGCGTTTTACCCCTTAGCTGTGTGAATAAGCCGCCTATAAGAGAGGCGAGGATCTAGATCCAAATCACACCATCCTCCTTCCGCAAGTACTCATCGAAGCGCCTCTGACAAAAATCCATTCCATCATGGATAGTCGACGCGACTCCTCCTCTCGCGCTCCCAGCCCTCAGCCAGGAGATTGGGGGAGATGTTCAGTTCCACACAGCGAGCTAGTGACGCTCCAAATCGAGGGATATCTTCCCCCAGCTTCATGGTTCCGGTTCGAGCCGGACTGGCCACCTACAGGGGTGGAAAGCAGGCGGAGAGCATCCCCAATCCCTCCAAAGGAGAGCAGGTATGCTTCGTCCATTATCTAATAAGGGGACTCGGATTTCCCATACATCCGTTTCTCCGGGGGCTCCTGGAGTTCTATGGACTCCAGCTTCACCACCTTACACCTGCCTCCATTTTGCACATCGCGGGCTTTGTAGCTCTTTGCAAGCTATTCTTGGGCATCGAGCCCCATTTTGCACTGTGGAAGAGATTGTTTTGCCTCGTACCCCGTTCTCATGAGGGGTCGATATATCAAGTGGGCGGAGCCGAAATATGGCGCATCGCCGGGATCGGATATCTATCTGTAACCCCGAAGAAGGCGTCCGAAGACTGGCCTTCGGAATGGTTTTATATGGAAGACGCCCCACTGCCAG